CCAGACAAACGACAGGATCCGTCTACACCTTTTGGAGATATTTCTTTTGGTTAAGCCTGCATTAAGGTACCAAAGGATATATCTCCACGAGGAGTAGAGGATCCTGCCGTATGTCTGGGCTAAAACAACACATTCTAAACCTGAGAAGATTGACTTCAATGAATGTAAATCCCAACTAATCCAGAAGTGTTAAATTGCTCCATCAGTTACATGCAACCTAGTGGAGACCCACAAGATCGGGATTGATTACAGTTTAGACCCATAAAAGAACCTTCTCAGGTTTAGACTGTGCCATCTTAGTTGATAACAACATTGTCACCCCCTGGCTATCACCCCCGAGCTCTACTCAAAGGATGTCGAAGCATAGCAGTGCAGTAACCACTCGAAGCATTGCAGTAATTACTCGGTGGGGTATAGATGTCTGCTTGCTCCTACCATAGCAGCTTCTTGCTCAGTGTGGGGAAAGATGACGGGGAGTGGGGGAGGGTATGCTAACTTCCCGCTCCGAGGGAAGTGGGGAAAGATGGGGGCATCTGGGGAGGGCTGAAGTATTGTGGTGTTGTATTTCAGTAAGGGGATGTTTATTCTCAGGTTTAGAATGTGTTGTTTTTGTAACTAATTACAATCACAACCAGAAGAAGGGGGGCGAGTATGAAGAACATGAGGGTAAATATTATGAACAACATGAAGAACACGACGAGGAAGAAATGATGCTTGTTGTTGAGATGGAGTGGGTAACTCAATTGATGCCATTTCAACATATAAAAATATAAAGAAAACCCTTGATACTCGGTCGTTGGGTGTTCCTTCATTTTTATAGGCGAAATACTTGTTCACATTCCCTGACTTGACACATTTAATTTTGACATTTCATAAACATTGAAATGAAAATGGAGTTCACAAATTTAATGTGCTTTAGATTGAGTTATAAAGTGCGCCAAATACTAGTACTGCGTGCGTGAAATACGAATGCATTAGATTTATCAATCAATACTTAATAATATAATATATACGTTTTTTTATTACCAAATAAAAAAAATGATGTCCATTTTTTTAGTCGTTTAAAGCATTGAATGACCACTTCAAAATACTGTCCGTTTCGCCAACTACACATGCATAGTTAATAGTCAGACAATTCAATGTTGAAAGATTCCCTTTATGGGAAATAGGTAAATTACTGACGATGATTAGTCTTGTCACCTACCTTGCCCATACGACTGGTAATTGAATAGTTGACGGTGTCTAACAATTTTTAATGTGCTTTAATTCCCACTGTAATATGCGCGATTAAACACTACAATGTGCGTGTTGATAATAATTTATAATGTGAGATGAAATAAAAAAAGTTACATTTTCCAAGATTTCCTTTTTGAATGACAATTCAATTCTGAAAAGATTTCCTTTATGGAAAATAGATAAATTGCTGACAACGATTAGTCTTGTCACGTGACCACGCAACCCCACCGTATGTGTGTGTGGTGGGGGAGGGTTAATTTGCCTATGCATCACAATTTTATATGTAAATTGCTTTATGGCTTTAGGGTGCGTTGGATTCACGCTTAATGTGCGTGACAAAATACTTTAAAATGCTTTTATTTTTTACTTAATATCGGCTCATGAATACAATACTATGCGTATAGTCAAATTATTCGTTGACCACTGCTGGAAATCACAGAACTTCTGACCACCAGAAAGTTGTCGGAAACGCCCTAAATCCGGTCGGAAACACCCTTTCCGACCACTTTTCCGATCAAAATGGGTATTCGGAAAACCCATTGTCGGTAATTCCGACCACCAGCAAAGGTGGTCGGAAATACCGACCATCTTTGTGAGTAGTCGGAAAAAAACCGACCAGCAAAACAACCGGACGAGTCCAGTTTCCCGACCACCCGATGGTCGGAAAATTGGAAACACCAAATTAAAAAAATTCATTCCGACCACCTTGGTGGTCAGAAAACTGGAAGCAACAAATAAAAAAAATTCATTTCACTACAGAGAGAATCTTTCTATAGTGAAATGATATATATTAATATATATATGTTGAAGTTGGTAATATATTTACTAAAAAAAAGATATATACATTTCATACACTTGAAGAGAATTCATTCATGAATATACAATTGAAAATTTAACACAAGTCAAAATATTGAAGAGATTGATGTCACAAGCAGCTAAAGCATAGACGATAAGAGTATTCATTCCCATCCATTGAACTATAATCATTGGTTTTCTCAAACAAATTACATAAACTTGCAACATATAGTTAACATTTTCTTTATTGACCTATCTCGACACAAACCTACATTCAGGACATATAGTTAACCTTTTCTTTATTGACCTATTTCAACACAAACCTATATTCAGGATGGCTTGGCCTAACTATTATTTTCCTTAATTTCAAGCTTGGATGAAAGGAATGACTTAAAATATAAGTGTACACTCACAATGTAATATATGATGGTAAAAGCAATGACAGAAGCTCCAGCGGTGGTGAACATATAGCTCAATGTATAGAATGGTTTAGAAAGAGGAATCTCTGAAAGAACAAAACTTCAAGCATTGTTTTATTACAAAATTTTAATTCATAGATATGGTAAGTTGGTATCTACTAGTAAAGTTTCTGCGTCGTGATTGGTTGAAATTGAAAAAAAAAATGAATAAAATAATAAGTTAAAAAAAAAAAATCATGTGGCATTCACACCATTGTGGTCAGCAACAAGATTAGTATACAAATTTAAACTTCCAAAACAATATTTCCGACCACTATGGTGGTCGCAAATAAACACTAAATTTAAAAAATTAAATTTGGGAGAACATTTCCGACCACTATTTAAATAGTGGCCGGAAATACCGACAGCATATTGAAAGTGGTCGGAATTTCCGACCATTATGCCCTTCCGTCGAAAAAATGAAAAAAAGTCATTTTTTGCGACTAATTTTTTGGGTGATCGGAAATGTGGTCGGGATATCGTGAAATTCCAGCCGTGGACGCACGCTGTATTATTTAGAAACGCACATAAGCAACTAAGTAAGCGCATATTAAAATATGATGATCTATAACCACGAAAGTAAATGTCCCCCCTCCCTACCCACACCCTGTACCATGTTATTATTAGCCTATAAAAGGGAGGTAAGATGCTGCAATCGAACATCAAATTTTATTACCTATTGTCTAATTCTCTAATACTCGTACTTGGTTTCTTTGCAATTCATGGATATACACAATGCCGTATGGTGACTCTTTCTCACCCACGCTGGATCCTTCATCTTTTCTTCATCTCTTTCTTATTCTTCAAAATCTTTATCCTGCTCATATATTCCCCCCCTCTCTTGTTGTTTTCAACATAATTAATTACTAAAGCAACACATTCTAAACCTGAAGCAACTGACCTGGACAAAGAAGCCCAGGTGACGGTTTTCCCTACTCGACAACGCTGGATTGTTCACGTTGTGGAGGGGAATATCCACATCCCATCCTATATTGCATGTCTCCACCCATCATGTGCTAAAGCCTGACTCAAAGTGTTTGGAATTGACACAGAATCTAAACGTGATAGAAAGGTGCGAGATGATAATGGTAAATGATCATAAGACACAAAAGATGAAATAGGATTTTGACAACGTCGTTTACCTTTACGAAGGGCAATGGGAAGATCCAGACCATTTGACGAAGATTCTGGTAAGGAAGAAGTATTCACTTGTGGTTCGGGTGGTGCCACTTCATCTCTCGGCCGCGGAGTATACACCTGTGTAATGGGAGGTCTAGAAACAAACTCGACAAGTATGGTAATGGTATATGTAAGAAAGTCATTTTCTTGAGTAGATCTGTGACAACCCAAAATATTTTTCCTAAATTCCTATCTTATAAAGTTTCAAAGTAGAATTATTTTATTCATTCGATGATTTATTCTAAGCTTTTGACCCGAAAGTCTATTTGAGACGAACCCGTATTTATACATATCAAGTGGTCTTGGCCTAAATATTTTTTTTTGAGCCCAAGTGTAATTTATTCTTGTTCAAAATATTAAGCCCAACAAATATTTCTTGATCTCAATGATTTAGCCCAATTATTTTGACCCAACTACCAAAAGTGTAGCCCAAGCCCAATTATTTTGACCCAACTACCAAAAGTGTAGCCCAATATAACTATGGCAACCCTACATCATTTAAGTCTATTTGTGTATCTATTTATGTATATGTTATTACGTGGGAGATTCATCAGAAACCAAGCAGCTCCACTTTTTCCATTTCTTTTTCTTCAAGTCTCTTTTCTCTCTTCTCTCTTTAGGGTTAGCAGCTAAGCAGCAACAAAAGCATCATATATCCATCTTTTCCTTCTTCTTGGTTGACGGCAAGGGTGTGAAGCAGCGGCAGCTTTGCGTACGAGCAGGGTAGCTGTTTCTCCCTTCCCCGGCGGTCTCCGTTTCCTTTTCCGGCGTAGCAGTTCCGCCTTCTTCCCCTGTTTCCAGCAGAACAGGGCAGCTCGGCAACAAGAAAGTGGCATCGGCGGCTGGAGCTCCTTCTGCTCCGGCGAGCTATGGCAGTGATCGGCGGCCTGGGAAGAAACGACGGTGGATGGTCCCTCCGGCGTGGCAGCTTGGACAGTGGTGTTCAGTGACATTCTTCTCCGGCAAGAGAAACAGAAATCCGTAGGTGAGCTCTCTGTATTGAAGAAGATTTGTGGGTGTTGTTGATGTTGGTCCATTATTAATGGTGATTTGAGTGTTTAAGATGGTGTATAAGATAGATGGTAATGGTTAATGATGCTATGACTTAATAATATGATTATGATAAATTGAGGAAGAAGCTTATATATGTTGTTCGTTGTTGATGAGGTTATGATGATGAGATGATCATATTTGTGATTAAAGTTGTTAATGATAATGAATATTGATGGCAGAATGATGATGATGGAGTAATGTTACTATTATGGATTAATACTAATATTATAAGGATGATTTATGTTGAAATATTGGATTAAATGTGTATGGTGGTTATGAAATGGACTAAGTAGTAAAGAAGTGGGGTTTTAAGTAAGGTAAAGAAAGGATTATGGGAAGCCTTGGATTTATGATAATGAGATAAAGTTCAATACCATTATTGTTAATAATATGGCAGTGAGAGATTAATAATAAAGCACAGTGGTGATAGAGAATATTTGGATTTGAGAAGTTAATTATTGGTATAATGGTAGCAATTATAAACTAGATGTTTAATATGGTGCAATGGTTAGAAGTATGGTGTAGTATTAAAAGGGTTAGGGTTTGAATCTTACTTTTAACATTTTAGTTTACTATTATTTTGGAGGGATTTCTGAGATACTAATGGACTATGTATGAAGTATGAATATTAATGGTAATTACGGTCTGATGATGGTGAAGTGGGTGATGAAGTGACTATGGATGAGGATTATTAATGAATTCAGATTAATGATCAGTTGATAATTAGATGATGGGTAATGATGGACGAATTATTGTTATATTGATAGTATGATGTGGATTAATATAATTAATAATAATAGTATTCGTAAATGATTAAAGAATAGATTGGTTCACAGGTTTCCTGTTTAAAGTGGCTAGTTAGGAGTTGAGCCTAGATCGAGTGTTGGCTTTGGAAGCTTAGCTTGAGGTAAGTTTCTATGTCCGTTTAAATTACTTTGCCCTATTAAATGTGCTACTTATTTAAGTTGTTTACTTAAATTATTTTAAAATGTGTTCTAGTTTCAAAATGTGATAAATAACAAAATATGGTTATTTTGGGGTTGACTTGTGATCTATATGGGTTGAAACTATGTTTTTGAAAGGTGTATACTCTATGGTGTGCCTAAATGTTTTACGTATTGAAAACCTATTATAATTGAGGTTGATTTGAGTATTGGAAAACCTATAATTTTGTGATATATATTTATATTGCTATAGAGTTCGATGAAACTCATACTTTGAGAAATTGTGGTTGAAATCCTAAGTATATTGAAATGAGTGAAACTATGTTTAGATTGGAGGATATGGAGTTATATTTATTTTTGAAGAACTATCTTTTTGAAAGAAATGTGTAAATTAGAGAAAATGTATTATTTTGCATACTATTGTATTCTTTTTGGAGGATGAAAACTATTATGGAAAGTATGGATATTGATGGGTTATAATGCGTTGTATTATTTGAAAACTATAATTTGGATAGCCTACGGGCAAATGAGAATATTCATGAAAACCTTTCTTGGAAAACTATTATTACTTTTGGAGGATATTGTATCTATTTTGATAACTATTCTTGTTCTTGGAGGGAGGATATATAAAGATGTACCTATTTTTGGAGGATATGTGGATGGTTGTGGAATGGTGGACTTCGATCCTATGTGGGTTCTGGCCCTATTTTTGATGAGATTGTATCTGGTAGAAAACATCCTGGATACTATTATATGTGGAGTAGCCTGGTAGAAAACATCCTGGGCTACTTGGACTAGTTACTACTCTTTTGGGTGGGGGAAGCCCATTAGAGGGTGTGCACACTTAAAGTTTTAGTCCTTTATCCCACGAAAGGGACAAACTTGTGGAGTGGCCGGTAGGATGGATTACCGTGTCACTAGGGCTTAGTTGATCTAAGACCCTTCGTCCCTTTCACCTTATATATATGAGAGTATATGGATATGTGAAATCTTGTGAGTGATGGTTATGATATTCCTCCATATGTATATGTGATACTTAGAAAAGTGATTTGAGAAATATGATTTGAATTCCTCCCTATTTATAGTTATTGACATATATGTTTTGAGAATGATTTGAGAAAATCTATATTATGTTTGAAAATGCTTATGATGAGAAAAGAATATGTTTTGATATGACTGTTATGTTGAAAAGTATAAATGTATTTATTTTACAAGGCGGAGTAGAGCTTACTTAGCATTTTATGCTAATTCTGTTGTTTGTGTTTTTCTTAAACCTTGTGTTTTCATGATCTAAAACTAGTGACTTGCCTTGAGAGCGCGGTGTAGAGTTCGTATTCCTTGTAATAGAATTTGGTATAGATCCCTTTGTTTTAAAATTTCAATTTTAGAATTGTAGTTAACCGAATTTGTGGATTATGAAATGTTGTATTGAGAAATTATATTATGGTTTTAGATAGAACCTTTGCAGCCTGTGCGTTTGGGCTTAGTTGGTTGCCCAAGCGTGGTGTGACACCCCAATGGTTTAGATTTTGATTTCGTTTTCGCTCTTCTTTTAAATCTTTTAGCAAAGAGGATCTTTTATTCTAGCTTTTAAATTTGGGGGTGTTACAAGATCCATACCCAGACAACCCAACACCCCCAGTGAACACCATGTTTTCAAAGAAAGTAACATCAGCTGACACTAAATACCTCCCCAAGTCAGGTGAATAGCATCTATAACCCTTCTGAGTATGCGAGTATCCCAGGAATATACACTTAAGAGATTTTGGATCAAGTTTTCGGCGTTGTGGACGAACATCCTGGACAAAACAAGTACATCCAAATATTTTGGGTGGGAGATGAAAAAAGAGGTTCAGTCGGATACACTAAAGAATACGGAATTTGACCTTGAAGGACTGACGAAGGCATCCGATTGATCAGGAAACATGTTGTATGAACAACATCAGACCAAAAGACTTTAGACACTTTCATTTGAAACAAAATTGCCCGAGCTACTTCTAACAAATGACGGTTTTTCCTTTCTGCCACTCCATTCTGCTGAGGTGTATACGCACACGAGGATTGATGAACTATCCCATGTTGGCCCATATAAGTGGAAAAGGATTTAGAGAAATATTCTGGTGTATTGTCACTTCGCACACACTTAATAGTTTTATTAAATTGGGTTTTGATCTCAGCACAAAAACTACAAAAAATTGTAAACAACTAATATCTAGATTTCATAAGATATAACCACGTACACCTAGAGAAGTCGTCCACAAAAGTTACGAAATATCTAAACCCATTCTTCCCTGTGACATGACAAGGACCCCAGACATCAGAATGAACAAGTTCAAATACAGATCGTACTATTTTATTGACACGAGGAGGGTAGGAAACCCGACAATGCTTAGCAAACTCACACGACTCACACTGCAAAGTAGGCAATGATTCTAATCTAGGGAAGAGTTTCTTTAGGACTGACAGTGATGGGTGACCATATCGACAATGTAGCTGGAAAGGAGAGGTATCACTCAACATAGCCTTGGACGGAGATATAGATTGTTCTAACACATACAGTCCTCTGATTTCCTTCCCCTTACCAATAATCTTCTTCGTCAAAAGATCCTGAAAGAAACAATAACCCGGAAAAAATGAGACAGAACAATTCAATGACCGTGTGATCTGGCTAACAGAGAGAAAATTAAAGGGAAACTTTGGAAAATATAATATAGATGACAAGGGTAATGATGAGGCTGCACCAGCACTACCTCTTCCCAAAACTGGAATGGATGACCCATCTTTTGTCTCTTATCACTTCTTCCGTTCTTCAGGACATCTTTGATGTGTTCCCTCATCTTGTACACATCATTCTTGATACTTTCACAGAAGAATTCCTTGTTGACTTGTCCGGCGAGGTAATTTTCATATGCTTCTTTCAGAGTTGTTCCTGGTAGAACTCCAGCTTCGATCCATTCAATGCATTCATTGAAGCTTCTACTGTGGCCAAGAGAATTTCCTGTGGTTCCAGTGAGTTTTTGCAAATCAAACCACATATCCATCTTCTTTCTCTTTCTCTATTCTTCCTTATTCTTTTCATTTACCCAGTGAGCTACTTCAGCTGGGATTGCTTTTTGATCATGGCAGGTGCGTTTTCTTTGGTCCATACGATAGATGGTATATCGGTTTCGGAGCAATTGAACCAATCATTAGCTTTTCCTTTTGATGAACCTGCACCTAAACCATAGTTAGAAAGTTGAGCAAAACCCAAACCACTTGGAGATGTTTGGCGTCCACGGCCTCAGCCTCGGCCACTTGGTGGTGTAGCTTGTGGTTGCCCAAAAAAGTATTCTTGTTGTTGAGCTGCCATATGACTGAGATATTCTTCCCCCCTTTTGGCTTTATCAACAATAAAATTAAGAACACGGGTATCTCGGTCTTGGTTGGCTTTCACAATCTTGATTCCTTCATTAGCTACGTCAGAGGTATTCTGCAAAGTTTCCAACTTCTGATACATGGATGATAGCTCAACTTCAAGTTGATTGATTCTTCGTTCTTGATCTTGTATGGCCTTCAGTTGCCTTATATGGCGTTCATAGTTGATCTTCTCGGCTTCCTCCTTTTCTTTCTTCAGATTTTTGATCACTTCAACCAAACTGGCTGTGATGTCAGCCTTCAAACGGCTTTCTGTTCTGTCGATCTTGGACTCCAAAGATATATGCTTTCCAAAGATTTGAGTGAAATTTGACCTTGTGTTGTCAAATTCTTGCATCGCCAAATGTCCCTGATCTCTCAAAGTAGTTCCGATCTTGTGGCAAATTGTATCTCCAGATTCGGATACTTTGGCAAACAGAGTTGTCAGAATATCATCTTCATCTTCTTCAGGCCAGTGGTGTGTTGTCCAGTTTAGATTATGTAAGGATCTGAGAAACTTCCTTCTTGAATCTGCTAGAACTGGAGTTTCCACAAGTTGTAAGCTTCTTCCTTCAGATGATTCGGCCATGGTGGTAATTTCTTGACAACTGGCTTCTTTTCCAAGATTTTATCCTTCGATATTGACTTCCTCTTCGCCTTGGTAATTGTCAATATCTTGGGAAAAACTAGGATTTGAGAGAATGGGTTGCTCAGACAATGGTCTGTCTTCTAGTGGGGATTGGAAGTTTGTAGTAGCTTTGACAGAGACATTTTGTACTGCCACTTCAATTAATTGTTCCCCCCAATTAATTCTCTATTTTCATTCAGAACTTCTTCTCTTATTTGTTCTCCAATCTCTTCTTTGATCTCATCTCCAACATCTTCTCTTATTTGTTCTCTGACCACGTCAGCATCATCTCTGGCAGAGTCATTTACTTTCATTTGTGGACCATCAATATTGCTCAAAATTTGGTCATTATTGTTTCAATATTTGTCTGTGTTTCGGCTTCAATGACAGGAATATTGACCAAATTTAAATCACCAATGACAGCAGTAGTTTGGTCACCATCAGCGATATTTAACACGGGTGCACACACAGATATAATCTCTTCTTCATTCCTTTCTCTTAATGCATCAAGAAGATTATCAGCAATATTAAGAGAAGGTTCACCTGGATTATGATGAGTGTCCACAATAGGTCTTTGCAATGCAATCTGTAACTGAGCTTTGTTGATCTTCTCCAATTAAGCCGATGAAATCAGAGTTACATTTTCTTTGGCCACATCTGCAAAAACTTTTCCTCTTGCAGTTTTCTCTTCATGTTTTGATCTGTAAACTTGATCGATGTTCATTTTGAGTGCCTTAAGTATAGACTCCGTTCCGCACCACTCTAAGGCAAATTCTTCATTTCTTATTAATTCTGAAGTAGTCTTTTGGATGAAAGAATGGTACTTTTCAGTTCTCCAATTCATCCATTCTTGGACTCTGTACTTCTCGTTTATCAATTCTGGATCATCTTGGATAGTGTTGAATACTACCGGACCGGCACTTGCTTCTCCTGTTGATTGGCTCAAAATTCTTCTTTGTAACTCATTGGAAACTTGTACTTCCACTCTTGCTAGTTCCATTCGTGTTGTGTCATCAATTGGTTCGGTTGGCAATCCCGGATGACACACATTCTGAGCTTCGTTCTCAATTACACCTTGGTACGGTATTATCGTCATGGCTGTGCTCGTGGCTTCTTGATCTCTGATTGTCGGGTTACTGGACCCCATAAAATTGCTTGCAGTTGAGGCGGCCCTGTTGCTTCTGATTTGAGATCCTCTTGATTGAGGTGTTTTTGTGCTTGCAGAAGCTCCTCCTTTGGATGCCTTTTTCTTTTGACTCGTCTTCCCATAGTCTGGTGCAAACGTCCTGAATAAATACCTGTAGATTCCAACACTTTTGTGTTTTCTCAAAGGTATTCTCTTCTTCCTCAAAATTTCTCCAATGACAAGTCCATAGCCTACACCTTGAAGAAATTGATCTCCTTTGAGTGGGCTTCCAGCTGGCTTTGCGGCAAGGATAAATCCTATAATTTTGGTGAAAATGTAATTCGCCCAATTGAACTTGATTCCATTCATCAAGCAAATATATGGAGCAGAGAATTTATTCAAAGTTTCCAATTTATTGTCTAGGGCTTTGTAAATTACATCCAATAGCATCTCATATTCAGGCTTCAAGAGATTTTTCTCATCGCATAAATTTGGTATTTCTGGTGCTTTTGGACCTCGGATTTCATCCCAGAGATTTTGAAGGTCATAGTGATGAGTATCCACAAGAATTTGAGAGTTTGAAGAATTGAAACATGTCTGGATGTCTTCTTCAGAAATTTCAACTTGTGTTCCGCCAACAGTTGATAGAATTCGGCCATTCTTCACGTTTGCATGTAGGTAGAATTCTACTACATCTTCTTCAAATGCTTCAGAATACTTGTAGGTGAGAAAATCATAAAGTCCACAGTTCTTCAATGCTTGGATGATCTTCGCTGCTAGAACTTTGTCTTGAGCTCCATTCATGAAATATTCTTCGTTGAGAACCATTCCTACCGTGAGTTGTTTCACAAGCACGGTTAGATCCTTGGGTTGTTCTGTTTGCGCCATTGTGATCGACATGGATGATGCTTGATTCGGTTGAGAGAGAATTTTAGGCTTTTTGAGTGATCTGAGATTTTCTTCTGGTAGGGAAGATGAAGAGTTTTGTATGAGAGGGGGTTTTAGAAGGTTTTTCTCGGTTAGACGAGAGAGAGAGAGAGGGTATGGGCGAGTAAGTCCTTTTGTGTAAGGTTCCAAAAGTGACTCTTTAAGGATAGATGTGCCTTTTTGGTGAGGGTGAGTCAGGAGAGAGAAAAAGCAATCATTACTAGACAGCAGCATTTAATGCTCACAGTTTCTTAGAAATCTTTTAAGCACGTAATTGATTTCTGAAGGGACACATAAGGTGGAGATTGTGTAGGAGAGGAGGTTTAGGATTTGAGAGGAGATTAGGTTGGAGAGACGGTTTAGGAGGTGGATTCTCGAATAGATCGATTAGTTCTCTCACAAATAAATGATATCATATAAAATATCTCCATCTTTCAGAAATTGAATTTTCTTTAAATAAAACAACCACACGGTAAAAAGAATAAATTTTAAACACTTTGGTGGTATAAAATGTGTTATATGGGATTTAGTTACCAAAAACAATTAGGAAACATACACATTTATATATATTGATACATATACACGCACACACGATAATACATATATCAACCACACAAATTTTGGTAAATAAATAAATTTTGTAACTTCTTCCCAAAAACAAATTTTAGAAACCAAAAATAACTTGATACCAATTTTTGAA